CGCCAGCCTCCAGATGAATCGCCAGGCTAAAAATTGCCTCCTTGAGCTTCTCCGGCCTCTGAGCACCAATCGCCAACCACTCTTGCACAAACCTAGTCAGGAGTGAGTCACCCTTTGTCCAATTCTTCTCCCCACACACTCACTACCACCACCCTTACTGACAACAACCCTAAAGATGATGAATCGCCATGAGACTCAACTCCAGTATCTCGCCAAATGAAGATGGTTGCTCCAACTCATCAATCGCTCCGATACCAACTGTTATTATTCGGGTTGTTTGTTGTCTGAGACCAACACTCGCACACATAGACTTCCAGGTATGCCCATACATTCACAGAAGGAAGGGGAGAGGATAGGAGTATCACACCGCACAGGGAGAGATAAACACAACGGAAGACTTGACCGTGCGATATGACAGGGTACACTGAAAGTGCAATTCACTCCACTCAATCCTCACAACCAGTCATAAAGAAAAGCCGAGTAGATCACATCCAGGAAAACAATGAAATGATGATAGTCCAAACCCAGTATTACACTGTTTATTAAACTCAGAGTCTCGAATTATCAGGATAACCTCAATATTACAGTACGCTGCTCAGAAATGAGCAGCGCTTCACTCCCCAACCTTGAGTAACCACTCGTAACACCCCTGAGCCCCTGAAACATCAAGCGCCACCCAGATACAGCCTCCAAAGGGAAGCGCCACCCTGAAACAGGCCTNTGAGTAACCACTCGTAACACCCCTGAGCCCCTGAAACATCAAGCGCCACCCAGATACAGCCTCCAAAGGGAAGCGCCACCCTGAAACAGGCCTCTGAGGCCAAGCGCCACTCAGAGGATGAAGTAGAAGACCAGCGCCACAGTATCTGATGATGACGAAGTGCCGGAAGACTTCCCGGGTGGAAGTCTGCAGCAGCGCCACCAAACCCTGACAAGATGACCTCTGAGGAAGAAGCTGCAGCTATGGCTGCAGCGCCACAACCCTGGAACCCCACTCTGGAGGAGGGTCCAGCAGGGCACCAACTTCTCTCGCCTCCAGCAGACCTCGATAACCCAGACCTCTGACAGCCCCTACGTGCTGGCAGAGTACAGCGCAGATCCCAGCTATGGCCGGTGCTCCGAAGGTCTGGCTATGCCTGTCTCCTTCCACGCTGAGCCGTCACCACTTCCGGTTCATGCGTAGCACAGCAGCGATGTACTCGGTACCAACTGCCAAAAGCCCTGAACCGATGTGCCCATCCTATCTATAGACTACAACTAGCCTAACTCGACCTAGACCGGACTGACTGACTGACCGGTACCAATTCAGTTTCGGCTTCTCCGCCTCTACCGTACCCGGCTATAGGCTATAGGACCGTCTATCAGCATAGGCCCTTAGGGTCTGTCTGTTCTAGGGGTAGCCCGGGCCTGCTATTCGCAGTTAGGGTAGCAGTAGGAAATTCAGTTAGTGTTGGGCCTGTATTTTCCCAAATTTACAGGTAGGTCTCTCGGTTATCCCTCAGCCAAACAAAATTACGAATCTACCCTACCTATGGTACAGCATCGTCAGAGAGAGGCTACAGGCGACCAGAAAACAGCAAGTCATTGCATGTGTGTGTGTGTGTGTGTGTGTGTGTGTGTGTGTGTGTGTGTGTGTGTGTGTGTGTGTGTGTG